AAGTTCTGAAAATATAACCATATCAATAGTATAGTTTTCATGTGAACACGAAGCTTTACAAGATTGGTATCCCAAAATGATGTACTTGATTAATTAATGGAAAATTGAGTAATGAGGATGTTAGGGCATGAAAGAGGTCCCATCACTGTTATTAATATGTGTCACGCCCATCATCGTACTTGGTTGTCGTAAATACTAAGATGTCACTATCATATTCCATATATAATCCTATTTATTAATCATAAATACACTAATTGCCAAATACATATATATGCCACATTAGGGGTTGCGTAGGCAGGACTTGGAGCACGGATTATTTATGATACAAGTGGATAAAAATTGCTTCATCCCTCTGCGCCTTAACTTGTAGGTTTTGTTCTCTTTTTGGCTAAATGATATTTTCCCTTCTTTCAAAATAAATAAATAAATAAAATAAGATAAAAATAAGAAGTGAATTAAAAAAGTTGTAGTTGAACTTTACCTCTAGCTCTCTAGGTCGTGTGGTTCAGTCACTCAGTGTTTCCTTGGCAATAAGAAGTTGAATTTGGACTCTCAATCATTTGTTAGCCTTCCAATAAATGAATGATTTAAAACAATATCCTACTATTTAGTTGGAAGAATGGCAATAATTTATGAAATAAAAAATATGAATTAGGCTCAGCAAGTTAACATGTCAGAGAGTGATAGGCTGAGTTGAAAAATTTTTAATCCATTTGGCAAGTTCATTTGGCCATCTCACCCAACCTACAATCTTATGGCAGGCTAAATTGATAAGCTGCAAGTTATCCCACCTTTTCCTCAAAATATTTTTTTAAATTTTTTTTTTAATGAAAAAGAATTTATTATTTTATACCTATTTCAAGTATAATATTGTTTGTTTTATGTTAGGAACATAATTTCATTTTTTTTATTTTTTTATTTTTTTATGATTTTTCTATTGATAAAATAAATATATAAAATAGATTACTTACTTATATTTATAAATTTTGAGGTTAATTTAATCATATAATTTTTAAAATTATAAAAATAATTTGAATTTAAATTATTAAAATTTGTAATTTAATTTTAAAAATTACAAAAAAATTGTTTAAAAATGTTAAAAAAGAAAAAAGAAAAAGAAAGTAGGTATGATAGGTTGTGCATGACATTTTTCCAACCCGCCAAGAGGCAGGTAGTTTCTAACCCATCCCGCCAACCTGCCACGAGGTTAGTTTCTAATGGTAAAGTTTTAATAGAGAAAAGTAATGACAGTTAAGTTTTTTATTGAATTTTTTTTTAAAAATGAATTACAAATTTTGATCTAGACAATTTCAAACAAAAAATAAATTGTATTAATTATGTTGAGACTTAAGAGTTATATTTACAATTTAAACATCTTATTTATAATTAAATTCTTAAATTTATAATTATTTTAATAAATATTTGTATGTTATTTTTAGAAATCCGTATCAAAGATCTAACTATTATTAATTGTTTCTTTTACAATTTAAATATCATTCTCCCAATTTATTGATTCTCTAATGAACTCAACGTTCATAACTTCACATATATTCCCTTTGATCTTATTTATGGGATCTTTTTAACCTATTTACAAGAATTAAAATGTATAGTTATCTTAATTAATTGAATTAAAATTGCTAGCAATTCACCCTTAAAAATTATCAGACCCCCTTTCATAATCTTATTTCAGCTAATTGATTAAATGGGAAGTAATCAAGGATAATTTTGTAAAAGAAAATAATTAATAGGGTAGATAATTTAAAAATAATCCTCTAAAAAAGGACTAAAAAAGAAGGTCATGTAAATAAAACCGGAGGAATATTGAGCACGTAAAAGCCAAAAAAGTATCAATCAATATGATAAAAGTTGATGTGAGTACAAATTAACTTGACAATGTTTACCATTTGCTCCTATTTTCATCATTCATGAAAGAAAACCGTTATATGTATATGAAACCAGTGTTGGGTTTCCATGATAACACATAAATCAATGTGTTTATTAAAAGGGTGGTAATCATTAGTTGATTCCTTCACTTTTTCCTAAATTTAAACCACTTTTTTCTAGCTACGCAAGCTAGGCCTTAAAAAAAAATTTGGTCAAGGTATTCTTGTAGTCGGTAATTATAAGATTAATTTTTTAAAAATTTTGAGTGTCATTTAAAAAATCATCCTCTCCTAAGTGATGATTTTCATACACACATTCAAGAATTAAATTATGAAATTATATTTAAGGGACCCAGGTCCCTACCATTTGTGCCCTTTCAAAAATATTTTGGAAATAGTAGAAGAGGCTACAACAAATATGAAGTTTCATATTCAAATTTGTATAAATGAAAAAAAAAATTTTAAAAGAAGTACCTTCCATTGGACAATAACTCTCAAATCTAAGCCAATAATATGAAATCTCATACAAATATATTTAAAAAATGCTTTAGAAATAAAATAAATTAATTCCAATGTTAAGAAAATAAGACCGGTCAAAGTATTAGTTTATGGTTCAATGTGTGGTCTATTGTTCATTAATAAATTGATATATTTTAAATAACATATGCTTAAAATAAAAATAATTATATATAATAAGAATACATTTTTAAATTTCAAATAAAATAATATATAATAAAAAATGTAATGTCCACTAATATCCTATCAATTTAATCCAATATATACTTATTTCATAATATATAACTTTAAATATACACACACATATATATTATACATATTTCTTCTGTATTTTTTTTTTTCATTTTTCAATTCTTATTTGGTATAATATGTATGACTTGTGGATTAGAAATATGAATTAAAATTTAAAAAAAATAATAGGATCAGTGCAACCGATCTATCCATTGGTTCTATCAATTTGAGACCGGTTTAGCCAATTCTTGACCGGTTCCAGACTGATTGATTCTTTTTACTATATCCAGACCAAATTTAGGACATGTTTAACCAGTCAAACCAACCATTGAGTTGATTCTAGGAACACAAGTTGCTTCTACACTCACAATTTTTTTAAAAAAAAAATAAATAAATAAAAGTGACCCTTGAAAGATTCTCCTCTATGCATCCCATGCATGATTGCCTCGCAACAAGAGGAACGCGGTTGTTGGTTGAGGAGGACAGGAGGTTAAGAAAAGCTCTTCTAATTTTCTAAAGCCACTTTTCGTAAATGTCAAATTATACCTTTTATAATACTTTGTCTCCCTCTGTCAAGCACTTTCTTTTATATATATATACATATATATATTTGGATCTCTAAAGTTGACCATTATCAATATTAACTAAAGAAAGGAGAATTTTATTAAAATCTTGACATAATTTCAATCGAGTTTTAAAAGCTTTTGAAATTTTGTTGTAAGCTTGAAGCTCTGAAATAAAATAAATTTTCTTACTTAAATGATCAAAATGTTCTTCAATTATAATTAACATTACTTAAATATCAAGTCAAGTTATGGCTTTTACAGATAATTACCATGGTAACTATCCTCAAATCTTGTACTACATACAACTTTAAAAATTATAGTTACTATTTTTAAGCCAAATAAATAACTTTGAACTTTAAGACTTTGCACATTACTCAAAAGTTAAATCAACCTGGCCATACTTGAGCCATTCAAGCTCATCAAGCCAGGCATTAAGAAGGGGTTAAATCTTGCCTTGTCTGAATATATGCCATTTTTTAATAAATTTCTTGCTAAAAATATTTATTTTATATTATTATTTTTGTTGAGAGTTATCATATATTATAATATTTTTATGATCTTTTGAACATTTCTTATCATTATAATTTTTTAAGAAAAATATCATTTAAGAACCATTGAGATAATTTAATATCAAAGAAGGGTCAAAAGATTATGAAATTTCATTAGAGAACCAACACATTGATTTGAGCATAATTTAAGATGGGAAAAGGCTATAATGCCCTCATTTTTTTTAACTCTTCAATTAGCAAATGGTTTTTTGTTAAATGAAAATAGGTACTTATTAATTAATGAATGACTGCTTGTTAAAATATGATTTATTTTTATCTTTTTTTACGATCAAGTTCTTTTAAATTTTTGAACTTATCAATTCATGAATGGTTTTTTTATTAAATATGAATATATACTTGTTAATCAAAAATGAAAAGAAGGAGAATTATAGTCTTTTCTTATCTAAAATTTTTTTAAATCAGTTCCCTCTTCTTGTAATGAGATTTTAAAATCTTTTGATCCTTATTTGATAATAAAATGTCTTGCCAATCATTAAATGATATTTTCCCATTTTTAAATCTCTTTCAAAATTTAAAATTTTATTTTTAACTTAATATTATGTAAAAATAATTGATAGTTGTTAACCATATGTAATTTTAAAAATAATTAATTTGATCCTTATATTAATTTTATAAAGAATATATTTTGAATGATAATAATTATTTTTTCAAAGATAAATTTTCTTTTGTTTTCAAAAAATTTATTTTTAAAAATTCCTTTTCCGTTAGGGCCCAAATACTCCAGCATCGAGGTAACCTAAACTACATATTAAATGCTCGGCCTGACTCTTCCTATGTGCAATTGCAATGCTACTTTGACTTTAAATTTTTTTTTTTTTTTGCCAATACGTAAATTCTTTAAATATTTTGGAGAGGATGATTTAAAATTCTAGAAGAGACTGTCACTGATAAAAAAATTTACAAAATAAATTAAAAATATTAATTCAGATAAAATTATATATATATATATATATATATATAAACTTATCATTTATTCTTTAAAAAAGTGCATATTATAAACACGAGTGAGATCCCATTTTATTGCTAATGGCCTCTCCGACACTTGAATCTGTCCATGTCTGTGTGTCTCTGTAATCTATTTCCTATATTCACGCCGCTCTCGCTTCCATAACTCACTCTTTCTCATCTCTTTCGTCCCTGCAAAAGCAAAAGCACTTGTCGCATCTTCTTTATTTCCCTCGTCGCCATTGTTAACCAATCCATTTCTTCTTCTTCTTAGATTTGTCCCCAGAACCATGCCTCACTTCTCTTTCTCAAAGCAAAAGACCAGTGACTTGTCTTCCCTTCTCTTCCATTTCTGCTTCTCCATATTCTCTCACCCTCTCTACTTCTCTTACTTCATCTTCTTCTCTCCCTACATTCTCAAGCTCGTCTCCTTCCTCTCTCCTCTCTTCATCACCACCACCCTCCTCCTCCTTACCCTTTTCACTGTTTCTCCTAATTTCCTCGTATTAGACGTTAATGACTCTGAATCTGAATTCTCTGACTCCAAATTGGGTTTTCTTGCTTCTAATTTCCAGACTCTCATTCTGTGGCTCCAGTCTAAAAGTACTCAGAAAAATGAGGAATCTGGGTATCTTGAGGAGTTTGAAGCTTACTTGGTCATGTTTCAAGCCTCCATTTTTCAAGCTCTGGAGGCAAAGCCAGAGGAAAATGGCTCACAATGCCTTCAAGCTGATCCAGTTGAGAATAATGTGTCTGTTGCAGAAGTAAAAAGCCTCGTGAGTTTGTTTCAAGAAAGTGAGGAACTTGAAGATTTGGGTCATCAGAAAGAAGAAAAAGGAAGTGGAGAAATGAAGGTCCTGGAGAGTTTGTTTGGAGAAGATGAAGAGTTTGAAGATTTGGTTCATCAAAAGGAAGCAAAGTTAGCAGACTCAGAAGAAGAGACCAAAGCAAAAGTAGGTCCGCAGAGAAGTGAATTCAAAGTGATGGAGAGTGACACAAATTGAACGGTGAAGAAGAAAACAAGGTTTTAGAAGAAAATGAAGAGAGGAATAAAGGGAAACAAGGGTTAAGAAGTGGGTTCAAAGTGATGAGTAAATCTCAGAGACTTCTAGAAGCAAGTCTCGGGAGTCCAGAGAACAACTGGATTTACAGTGAATCAAATAATCTGGGGAGCTTTGGATCAATGAGGAAGGAGAAAGAATGGAGAAGGACCTTAGCTTGCAAGCTCTTTGAAGAGAGACACAACAACAGCAACATCAGCAGCAGCAACATTAATGGAAGTGAAAGTGAAGGCATGGATTCACTGTGGGAAACATATGAGACACAGTCCAACAAGCCCAAGAGCAGCAGCAGCAAGAAGACGATGATGTCTGTTCTGGAGAAAAGCAAGACCAAGAAGAGTACTGAAAGTAAGTATTATGATCTAGAGGATGAAGATGATGAAGAAGATGAGGAGGAAGAGGGAATGAAACTGTGCTGCTTGCAGGCTCTGAAATTCTCAGCTGGGAAGATGAATCTGGGGATGGGAAAGCCTAATCTTATGAAAATCTCTAAAGCTTTCAAGGGCATTGGATGGCTGCATCACCATGTAGGCAAGCACAGCAGAAGGGGGTAGGATTGGGGGAAAGAAAAAGGATTTTGGTCTTGCTTGTTCCTCAATCCTCTCTCAAAAATTGCATAGAAATTCTGTATTTTTGGTCTTAAGTAAATAATTTTCCCTTCTTTTTTATCAATTAATTAACGAAGCTTATTTTCTGGCATGTTTGGATAAGAAGCAATAGAATGCGAGGGAATCAAAGACTTGGTAAGGTCTAATTGAAAATTCTATCATGTTTTTAAGTGTTATTATCACGAAGGGATGATGAAGTATTTTTATCACTAATCTTTCTAAACCCAGCAAATTCATGTCTTTTGTATTTTTCAAGTAAATTTTTATGTTTTTCAAAAAAAGATTAGAGACAGTGTTTTGGGGATGAAATGGCCATTGACACTTGACAGTGACAACTTGTCCTGCATTTACTCTGCAGTGTGCATGAAAATGATATGGAACTGATGGTACTTTTGGGCTACTTGTTGTGTTGTGCATGTCAGTTACAAGTGCTTATAGAGTTTGACTGATTTATTAATTAATTGTAACTGGAACGTGCTTTTCAGCATGTATGCTATATATTGTTCTCTTTGTATGTCCATCTGTCTACCTCTGATCCAATAGATGATGTATCAGGATATAAAGTTTATTAGACTTTTGCTTATTCAGTAATTTTTTGTATTTCAATTAATATATTATTAATTATATATGAAGGGGAATATAAGCATAGCATGTGGTTTATTTGCCTTCACTATCTATGACTTGTTTTCTAGCATGGTCTTCCCGTTTTTGTCCTTTAGAGATTTGGAGAGGGAAATAAGTTTCAAAAAAATGGGAGAAATTGAGGGCTTGTTTGCTTTTTATTTTCATTTTTTGTTTTTAAAAACTGTTTTATAATATAGTTTTTAAAATTGTTTTTAAAACAAAAATAAAATAAAAATCCATTTGGTTATGTAATTTAAAAACAGTTTTAGAATTGAAAAATGGACTGATGATAATGATTATAGGCAGTTAATAATGATAATTGATAATAGAAAATAGTCAAGATAACTATAATTTTTAATAATCAAATATAATATATTTTAAAAATAAGAAAAATAAAATGAAAACAACTTAAAGTTTTTATTTTTTTATTTTTTTAAAAAAATAAAAACAGTTTTGAAAATAATTAAATGAAAAACACCTATCTAAATAAATTTTTTTATTTTTTTATTTTTAAAAATAAAAAATAATTTCTAAAAACAGAAAACAAACAGGCCTGAGAGCCTTGAACCCATTTGACATTACTTTTGGGCCTTCTTTTTGTCAAATCATTTTCCAAATGAGGTTCTGACAATATCTCTCTATTTTTCTCATCAACTTCCACGTAGTTGATTACTTAAATTCTTTTTTATATGGATGTACTTATTTGTAATCAAACAGAATAATATTGTTAAAGCCTCCCATCTAAAGGAAACCCAAAGCAAAGACACGAGAGAGGAACTGGGCTTCAATGACGAAAATAAGACTAACAAGAGATCCTCTAATACTGGCGAGGTTATCAAAGTCATTCCCACATATCGACCAGTGATGAGAGCTTCGAGGTTGGGGGACTATCAAGTTACACAAACAAATCTTAATAATACAGCATATATATATATATATAAAAAGAAAAAGTTTAATAATACTCTATTGACATTTACCTTATTATTATTACATTCATCATACAATATGATTCATGATTTCATTTTTTGTTCTTTAAATTAAAAATGTATTAATAAATACTTGGCATGCATATTAAGGCAAGTTCATTATTTGAAGTTAATTCTATAATCTTTTGTTTTTAAAATTTTTTTCATACTTTTCTACGTGCTCAAAGCCATGCAATGCAGGGGAGTCAATCTAGTTATATAAAAGAATAGAAAATCTACAATTAATGTTGTTTGTGTTTGATAAAATTTATTCTTTCCATTGAAAAATGCAAGACATTTTTAACTAAATTTCATCCATCAATAAAGTAGTTATCTACTTTTAAACTAACCTTATCTTTTTATATTTACCCCCTATTAAATACCTTACAATAAATATAAAATTATTTATCAATAAGGGTATTTTTTAAAAAAGACAATGATCAAAAGATTAAAAATAACTTATATTTTTTAATGGAGGGAACATCAATCTATAATATTTTTATACATTCCCAAAACTCATCTCTCTTCTCTCAAGAAGCTTTGTCTTCCCCAGAGCCTCTTCTGCTTGAGATTTTCAGCAAGTCCCTTTCCGCTTGGCTTGACATTTCTCACCATGAGGTACTTCAACTCTTGCGTTTGTCTCCATCATTTTTGTTTGGATTGTTAGAAATGCTATGGGAAAATCTGCCCCTTCTCTCTCGATGCTTTCTGACATAGGAACATGAAATCTAAGGGCTTGTTTGGTTGTTATTTTTATTTTTTGTTTTCAAAAGTTGTTTTATAAAAAAAATTTAAAAATTGTTTTTGAGAACAAATAAAAAAAAACTTGTTTGATAATAGTAATTCAAAAACAGTTTTATAAATTTATGAGATGAGTGATTCTATTTTATCGAGACAAAATTACAAGGTTTGTCATTAATGAGAACAATTCTCATTTCTTGGTTCCTGCTTTTTTTCTATAAAACTTTAAAAAAACAGTAATAGCAATAACTAAAAATTGTTTTGGTTTTCTTGTATTTAAAAAAAATTAAAAACTGTTTTCAAAACAAAAATTAAAAAATCATTAAACAATTTTTTTTGTTTTTAAGAATAGTAAACAAACAGGGTTGAATAACTCATTTTTATTTCTTGAGGCTTAGGTGGGTGCATTGTAGTGAATTGATCTTTAATTGCCAGAAAATTGAAAGCGGGTGAGAGGAACATTTTTCTTTTGTTTGTGGAAACTCTCTTTCAATTTTTTTCAAATGGGAGGAACTTAAATTTGATCGATTTTAGAAATTTTATTCTACACTATTTATTGACAATTATTTTAAAATAAGGGAGACGTTTCAGAAAACCTACCCTTCCCCTTCATTCCTCATCTTAAAAATTAATTATTGCATTAGATAAAATTTATCAATTGCTAATCTTTTTGTATATCTCCAAAACTTATCAATTAATTGTAATATAGAAGAAATGGTAATCAACAAGGGTGTGAACAATATTTTTTAACAGTCTAACATCTATTTATACACACACCTCTATTATTTTCCTAACAACTAGTAATGTATTTACAAACTTTCAAGATTTGATGTTTATAACACGCCATATATAAGACATTATCATGAAACATATATTCCAAGCAACAATATATACAGGAGAGGATAAATGCATATTTCGTGAGCTCCTGAAAATAATAAATAAAATACATGATTATTTTTTCTCTTTTTAAATTCTATAAATTGTCTCTAAGTAATTACCATTTTTTATTTATTTACTCTTTAGGCCAACGAAGGTTTGGGTAAAAGTAAAGAATTCTTTTATCTCACTGAGCAAGATGGTTGGTAGTTAAAATGTATAATTTTCAACGCATATGTATATATTAAGTTAATTTTAAGATGAAATAATAAAAGTTTAAATACTTCAATAAATAAAAGGTTAAAATTTATTTTTGTCTTTGAAATATTTTCATAAAAACACATAATATCCTAAACTTTTTATTGCAATAATTTATTCTTAAAGTAATTAAATCATAACATTGTTGCCATTAACAATTAACTTTTTCAACTTAGACTTAAATCAACATTGCTACGATTTAGTTAATTCAAATACAATATTGTTACAATAAATAATTTAAAATATTAGATGTCCTTACAAAAATAATTCAGACCTTAACTCATAAATAACATTGTAAAATTATATAACTTTTTTTGGGCATGAAATCATATGGAGAAAATTACACATAAGTCATAAGCAAATAGATTTAGACAAGAAAAATTGTTTGAATAAATTTTATGATTTTTTTTCCTATAGAAAAAGGCTTAAAATTATTTTTTCATTAAAACCATAATATTAAAAATTAGATCAACTCAATCAGTTGAAATCATCTCTTGACTAGTTCAATGCAATGTTATATTTATAATTGGTCTAATCACAATTCAATTATAATTTTAATTGTTAACCCTTGAATCAATACGTTAACTAGTTTAATTAATGATTAATTTAATTTTCAATACTTTAATAGAATGATAATATGAAAATCTGAGTTAACCTGTTTGATTGAACCGATAAACCATTAAACTAATATCTTTATTGCTTTAAAAAATGTTTTGTTTATGATCGATTTGATCATGATTTGACTATAATTTTAACCATTAAAATTAAATCAATGCCTTGAATGATTTAATGCTTAATGCCTCGATAGAAAGTAGTCTAAGGTAAAAATTTATAACCAAACAACACCAATATCAACTCTCTCTCTCTCACA